AGCCGCCAAGGTGCATTGAGAGATGAGAGACCAGATTAGAATCCTGGAATGTGGGGTAGGGGAACCTTCTAGAAAAGCCAGCCATCAGTGCCAGGGGACTTCCCTGGCTGGCCTCTTGACCAAGCCAACTGAGGAGCTATGATTGGCTTGATCAAACAGTTCCGTGAGCTCTTGCAGTGGAAAGTTACATGTGAGAGTGTCCTGGTCCCAACTCCGCAGACTGCCTTATCTTGAGGGCCTGCTTTTGGGGTGGTCGTGTGAGGAACAAATGGTATTTGTGGAAAGAAAGGATTTCGCTTGGGAAAAATGTGTTAAAAATTGCCTCTCTTTGGAATAATAAAAAAAGGTACAGAATAAGCAAATATTTGCGCTCCTATATCTGATAAAAGGTTAAGATCTAGGGTGTGAAAAGAATTCCTACAGTTCAACAACAGATTAACCTGACTATAAAAATGGGCAAAGGCCATTTTCCCAGGGATAACAAATGACCAATATGAGTATGAAAAGATGCTATTCACCTGGTAAGACAAACAAATACCATGAGATACCATCTCACACCAGTGGGATCTCACCACCATGAAATTGAGCGGCAGAGCAAGAATGTGGAGAAACTGGGGCTGGAGATGGAACTCGGGATAGAGTGCTTACCTAACATGCATACACAGGGCCCAGGGCAATCCCCAGTATGGACGGACGGATGGATGGATTGGATGGATGGATGGATGGATGGATGGATGGATGGAGTTATGATAGAGATGATAAAAGATAGATAAGACTGATGATAGATTGAATAGATGCTAGATTAGGTAGATGCCAGATAGATAGATGATAGATAGATTGATTGATTGATTGATTGATAGATGATAGATTGATAGAAGATTGATAGATGATTGATAGATGATTGACAGATGATAGATACATGATTGATTGATAGATGATAGATAGATGATTGATAGATGATAGATAGATGATTGATAGAGAGATGATTGATACATAGATGATAGAAGAAAATGTGGGGAATTTGAGCCAGACTTGGTAGCCCACACCTTTGATCCCAGCACTCAGGAGGCAGAGATAGGTGAATCTCTTTGAGTTTGAGGACAGCCTGCTCTACATAACGAGTTTCAGACTAGTTAGGGCTACATAGTGAGACCCTGTCCCAAAAAATAGTGGGGGGATTTGAAACTCTTATGCACTGTTTGCAGGAGAGTAGTGTCTGGTGGCTGTGTCAGACAGTGTAACAATAAACTACAACGGTGTAAAACACCTGTGTCCAGCATTAATTCTGCTTCTGGATATACACCTGAGAGAATCAAAAGCAGTCACGAGATCTCTGTAGGTCAGTTTGCTAGACTGTCATAAGAAAGGACCATTCATTCCTTGAAGATCCTAGGCTGGAAATCTAAGGTATGGGCAAAATAGATTGCCCTGAGGCCTCTCTCTCCTTGGCTATCGATGGCACCTCTCTCTGTCCCAACACGGTCATCCCTCTTTGTGTCCGTGTCTTGATGTCCTCCTCTTCTAGGACACTAGTCCTGTTGGGTTAGCTGGCGGTGCTAATGACCTCAGTTCATGTTAATTACATCTGTAAAGAGCCTGTCTCCATCCTGAAATCTCAAGGGTTAGGACTTCAACATGTGGATTGGGGATGAGTGGTGGGGTGAGGGTGAGTTTGCAGCTTGTTATTCAAAATAGCCAAAAGGCAGAAGCAACTCTAATGTCCATCAGCTGATGGGCCAAGAAGTAAGATGTGTTCTGCCACACAACAGGAAGGCATTCAACCTTAAAGAAGAAAGAAATTCAGATGCACTTACTACAACACATCACATTCTGACACCTGAATGACTCCTGTGCTGAGTAAAAGAAGCCAGTCACAAAAGGACAGTTCGTCCTTTCTGCATCTGTAGGTCCCAGAGTTGTCAGATTCTTATAAATATATATACAGAGAGAGAGAGAGAGAGAGAGAGAGAGGGGTGTTTTGCCAGGATGGGGGAAGGGAAGAATGAGGATTTCTTGCTTAATGAGTACAGAGTTTCTGTTTGGACAGATGGAAACTTTCTGGAATGGATATTGTTGAGATCAGGAAGTACCCTGCCTTAACTCCATATTGTGTAAAAATGGTTTCTCAAACTGTGCCTTGCCCTGAGAGACTCCATTTTACACGTAGCTTTTGGCTCCATTTTGAGACTAGAAGATGACTCTGCATCTTGGTAGGTACGTAAACATCATTTGTCCAGCACCACCCACACAGCACAGACTGATAAATGACCGATTCCTAAAAGTAAAAAGGATGCCACCCTGGAAATTCATCAAAGTAAAGTGAATCGGCATCATTAGCACATGGGCATATTAAAGACCACATCAGGAGAACTGGGCCTGAGAATTTATCAAACACAGGAGACTGAGTGAAGATCAGTGAAGAGGAGGGCACCTAACACAGCAATAGTTACGACCTCACTGACCTGTCATCTGACTACTGTGTGTGTGTGTGTGTGTGTGTGTGTGTGTACACACGCGTGTGCGCACGCACGCAAATCTAGGAACCGACAGGCAGAGAGCTTCCAGCTATCCCAGAGGCATCAGCCTTACTCCCTGGTGTTCAAAAAGCCTACTCAAATTGCTGTCAGTCCCCCCATTTGTCCACTTGGACCCGGTCCTGCCCTTTATCTCTGTGGCTCCACGTCTGGCACCTTGACTGACCCAAACTCAGCACAACTCTGCCTCTGTGGCTTGACTTGAGTCTGCAGCCATTGCCTCTAACTGGGTTCCTTTCTGTCTGGTCTAAACACTTGATTGACTCTGATTCCTTATCAGCTTCCCACTTCTGCCTCTGAGTAAGGCCTCCTTGAAACTCCTTGAACTCTCTTGCGGCTTCTTGAACCCCTTGTAGTCATTCTGTAACCTACATGTATATGTATACACAGATCTATTTTCTGTGTGATATGTAATGTGTTCTGAGAGTTATTATTAGCAGCTAATAATTGGAATGAAAGATTCTGTTTGCCTCAGCCAGCTGTGAAAGAAAGTTGGGATTCCTTGGAAAATTCCAGCCAGCAAAACTGACATTGCTTGTGACTTTATTGTAATTCAATAAATTCTGACATTGTATAAAGACACAGTTGTGTATGTCTGTGATTCAGACATAACAGATTCATGACAGATACAGTCACAGATGCAGAAGAGAGGCAGGCAGTGTACTTAATGGCCGCTGAACTGTACACTTAAAGATGGTTGGTTGGATGAAGGATGGGGTGACTCAGTGGTAGAGTACTTGCCTCTCATGCCCAAGACACTGGATTCCATCCCCAGCACCACACGCACAAAAGGACCAGATGATTTTTATTGTACATATTTTACTCCAATTTTTAAAAATAAGTAAAAATGAGGATTAAGATGCACATTCTAGTAGACTTGCAGGTGGTCAGGTGGGTGCTCTCTGGTGTGCAGGTATTTTTCCAAGACCAGATGTAAGGCACAGGAGAGAAGCATCTTCAGGCTAGTGGTCAAAGTGATGCTTTCATCTTACATTTGACTCATCAGTGAGCTACCAGCCCCTTAGTCCAAGTTAGGCTCCTGTGATGGTTAGTGTTGTCAGCTTGATAGGCTTGAGAATTACCTAGGAGATGGGCCTCTGGGCATGTGAGGGATTATCTTGATAAGGTTAGTTGATGTAGGAAGCACCATCTTGATTGTGGGCAGGACTATTCCCTCGACAGGGACTCTGGACTATATAAAATGAAGAAGATGAGTTCAGCACTAGCTGGTGCTCATGGCTCTCTGCTTCCTGATTGTGGATGCAGTGTGACCAAGCCCCAGGCTCATGCTGCCTTGACTTCCCTCCTGTGATGGAATGTACCTTAAACTGTTTGCCAAAATCAACTCATTATCCTGTAAGTTGCTTTTTTCAGTGTATTTTATCATGTCAACAAGAAAGGAAACTAAGGCTACCTACGCCCATTCACCCCCTTCATGCTCATTAAGCTTATCTCATGCTCTGACAGCACCCTCCACACATGTGGCCATCTTCCCAGGAAACACACCTCTTTGGACCGCTTCAGAGAGGCCTCATGCTCCTTGCTATACGGGAAAGCCCTGTTCATCAGCCACGTCCAGATCAGCCCCAGACAGGCCACCACTCATTCCACCGGCCTGCCTGCCTGGACTCTTCTACTTTCTGTTCCTTCAGCTCATGCCTTTGTCTTTCCTCTGACTTCCTGGGGTGGGGGGATGTGGTGGCTTCTCTTGAGCATTTGGCTTGATGTTCTGGAAGGGACTGTGGAGATCAGTGAGCATCCTGGAAGGAGGGCAGCTAACGTTCTTCACCTCCTCTGACCTGTGTACCATCACCGATGTTACTGGAGTTATTAGGGCCAGAGGCCGGGCCCTTGACAGCCTTAAGAACCTAGGCCCAGACATCTGTCCTTAATAGACCAATTAAATAAGTAATAGTGAAAAACAGAAAATGATTTATTCAATGTGGCCACATTGGGAAGAAGAGCAAAGAGGTTCTATGACTTCTCCCTTCCTGCTAAGTCCAGCTACTGAGTCCGGACATGAGACTTAGGTTTAAAGGGAGGGAAAGAGGCACATCTAAGTAAGCAGTCCTGGTTAAAAAGTGTGGTCCCACCCATCATTGACCCAACACGCGCTCCAGGCTCCAGTCTGTCCTGGAAGATGGTCTGACAAGCTGTCAGGAATGTGTGAAGTCTCTTTCCTGAGGACAAGGCTGGCACCAGGCTTTAGCCTTTACCTTGGGGACTGAGGTTCCTGGATAAATGCCCATTTCTTGGTTCCATTGTTTCAATCATCTGATAGCCAAAGGATGGGGCACAAGTACCTCTTTAGAACACGTCACTCCTCCCAGGATGGTTATACCTATGCCTCCCTACTGGCTGGTTCTTAGGAAGAGAACTCTGCCCGGGTCAGGAAATACCCTCCTGGAGCCACATGCACCTGCCCTGAGGGCCAATGGCACTGACCTTGTGCTCTCTCCCTCCCAGGACCTGAGCTCCTTTGCCATGCCGCTCCTGGATGGAGACCTGGAGAGTTCAGAAAAGCATTCATCTCGGAAGGTAAGACCTCCTTTCTCGAAACTTCCCGCCATCCACCTGAATTGTTCCCAAGGCAGGCAGAGGCTGAGACACTCTTCTAAATTCACTTTCAACGGAGCCTCTACTGGCATACCACCTGTGCACTGGCCGTGGCGGAGCCAGCCCGGGGAGCTCCCTGCACAGGACTGTGCCCCCTGTGCTGCCGGGCACTCCAATCTGAGAGTCTCCTGGGCTCCCCTCCTCCTCCCTGTCCTCACCCTGAGCTGATAGTAATCACCGGCCTCCCAGAGTGGGAAGAGCTGAAAGAGAACGAGAGCAGCAAAGGAGCAAGGGCGCTGTGTGTTTGCTTCTCTGTCTGTGACTAAACACTCTGACCAAGAGCAGCTTGGGGAGGAAAGGGTTCATTGCTTCTCACACTTCCAAGTGACGGTCCATCTTCTTTTTTAATTATTTACTTAATAACCACATACTTAGAAGAAACATTCATTACAACAGCATTGACATAGTCAATAACAATTTCCAGAGCTAAGATGCATCTCTTTCAAAACTGGCTGTAAATTTTTAGGTTTACAGTTGAATTAATAGTTATACAATATTGTACTCAGTATAAACCCTATAAGACATAAAATTAAATGAGGTTTTAACCTTTAAAAAAGATCTCCATTCCATTATTAAAATACAGTTTCATACAGAAAAATTCATTTTTAATGCAATTAGCACTAAGATGTTTGCACATGTGTTTCTACTTTCTACTCTCTATGTATCTGATTATTAATAGTCACCTTCGGTTACTTTCTGAGAGCCTTGGTATCTGAGCGTGACTATAAAGTCATCAGGTAGATTTCAATGGTAATGTTTTTCACATCTACTAATTATTAAGGAGCAAATTTTTATGCTTTGAAGAATTACTATTTTTAAAAAAATTTTTTTTTTGGTCTTTTTGAGATAGGGTCTTCCTGTAGCCCCAGCTGGCCTGGATTTGCTATGGAAACCAGGCTGGCCTCGAACTCACAGAGATCCACCTGCCTCTGCTTCCTGAGTGCTGGGATTAAAGGCGTGCACCACCATGCCTGGCTATATTTTTAAATTTTTTAAAAAAAAATTTAATAGCCACATGATTAAAAGAAGCATTTCATTACAGCTTTAACATATTCGGTAACACACTCCAGAGCAAGGATACATCTTTGTGGTTATATTAGTTACTTTTCTGTTGCTGTGATAGAAACGCTGACCCGAACAACTTATAGAAAGAAGAGTTTATTTGAGCTTACGCTTGCAGGGGAATCACAGTCCATCATGGCAGGGAGGCATGGTGGCTGGAGGTGGCTGGAGCAGGAGCAGCAGAAGCTAAGCTCTCACATCATCATGCAGGTACAGGAAGCAAGAGACTGACTGGAGATCTGGCAAGGCTTAAGAACTCTCTAAGCCCACCCCCAGTGACGTGCTCCCTCCAGGATAGCCACACCTTCTAAAACCTCCCAAAATAGTGCCATCATCTAGGGACAAAATGTCCGAACACTTGGAGCCTATGGGGGGTACATTTTCATTCAGACCATCACAGTGGTGGTCCATCTTTGAGGGAAGTGAGGCAGGAACCTGAAGGCAGGAACTGAAACACAGACCATAGAGGAACATGCTTACCAGCTTGGCCTGTGCTCACAACCCAGGACCACCTGCCCAAGAGTGGCACCATCCACAGTGGGCTGAGCCCTCACATATCACGCAACAATCAAGAAGATGCCTCACAGACAGACACACAGGACAATCTGACAGAGACAGTTCTCTAGTTGAGGTCCCCTCTTCACAGGCGTGTCAAGTTGACAACCAAGCCAACCATAACGGGTGCTAAGTAGCAAAAAAGGAGGATGAAATTTTGAATTTGTGATAAAAAGTGAATTTGAAGGTAGCTGTGTTTTTTTGGCATATCCTGCCCACCTTCCTCCTGGGCCCTGGGGGTTATCTGTACTCTCACCCTGCTCCCTGACCCCATCTACTTGTCCTTCCCTAACTCACAGCTCACCCCTCCCTCAGGGCTCATTTTTTTCCTCCATTAGGAAACCACAGTGTCTCCAAGGCTAATAGCCATCCAGGGTCAGGCCAGGAGTGTGGGGTGCGGTGTTGTCAGTGGTGGGTGAGGACTTATAGTGGCCACCGAGGGGAGAGAGTACAGACAGCCTGCAGGTTTCCTCTGCACTTGAGAAGTAAAAGTGACAGAGAGGGCTAGACAGGGAACCTTGCTGGCATCCTGCCACCCCACTGACCCAAGCGCAGCATGACAGGAAACTGCAGAGAGGGCCTACAGCAACTAGGAGAGGCTGCTGGGTGCTCACCAGCCTGGGATTAGGGCGGGGGCTCGCATCCTGGAAAAAGCAGTCTATTCTCTGAACATTTGAATCACATACAATTGAATCAACAAATTGGTTTAGGCCTATGGGGCTCACTTGGCAATCAGACCTCTGCCCCACCCTGCCCTGTCCAAGCAACTTTATTAGCGGTTATTGTGACCCAGCCAGAAAGACTATCAGAAAATGGCCTCAGGTCTGGGCAGGCGCCACCAAGGCCAGAGCCCCCAGCTCAGCCAGGTCCTCTGGTCCTCTGCCCTGTTATGCACACTGTCTTCCCTGTTGGGAAAAGCCAGTAGGAATCAAGACTGTGGCAGAGATGCTTTGAGGGAGCTGGGGGCTTCCCTCGGGCCCAAGCAGCCCCCCTTGGTGGCCTTCGAGGTTCAGAGTGAGGCTCTGAGAGGCAGCTGAGAGGAGGGAAAGGCTGTAAAGTGTTCTTGCCTCCATCCAGTGTTTGCTCCAAATTTGCCCTAACGCTGCATCCAGGATTTACCTAACCTACCCTGTGGACCTGGCAAACAAGGGACCACTCTCAGGAGTCACAGATGCCGTGGAAGACCAGGAACTGTAAAACATGTTCTTTTCCCACACCAGCAGCCTCCCAGCGCAACCAGGAGACAGGGCCTCTGTGACCAGCATTATGGGAAGGGAAATTGAGCGTTCCCACTGCCCACCCCAGAGAAGCTGCTCCCCCTAGTCCTGGGACTATCTGCAGTGCTATTGTCTATCAGACCTCAGAAACCTCTAGCATGGGCGACAGACAAGGAAGCCCTTTTTTAGGGGGCAGAGTGAGGCCACGCACCCTAGAATAGTCTCCAAATTGCCCCAGTAGGGTGTGCCTCTGCCCCGACTCAGTTCTTCACACCATTCAAAATGAAAAAACCTGAGGAAGTAACTTCAGTGAAATTCCTGCCCATGTTTAGCCCTGAAGATGGATGACAGAGGCCAAGGTGAATGGGGTATGCTGCTGCCAGGCTCTTCTAGCAGAAGGAGGGTAAGGAGGGGGAGCAGGTGGCACCAGAGGATGACAGAGGCAGTGGACACTGAGACACACCTGCCTCCAGGAACCTCACTGGGTGTGTGATACCTAAGTGTTTCATGATCTTACTCCTTATATCTCTTTCAGTTAATTTAACCCAGCCTTACTATCCTAAGAGGCTTGTGGGAAATGTTCTTCTCCATCACTCCTGGGACTTCCTTTCCAGGCTTGTCCAAAGGTCCTGGGGTCCCACACAACACAGTCTTGTATTTTTTTTTTTAGCTGTAGAAATGTCATCAGAATGGTGGAAAGATGCTGCCACAGTTACATGGCTGCTTTGTAACAGCTGGGCCTGAGTCTAGGCTGCTGAGTGCTCCGTCCAGTATGTTCCCCACTGTGTCTTAATATGCTGAACCTCAGGCTTGGGAGACTGCCAATCAGTAAAGTGTCCTAAGCAGGACAGATCTCACATCAATGCTTCCTGCCCCTTCCGGCTTGTTTGTGCATCTTTATGCCTATGACCAAGATCTCTCCATCTCCTTAGGGAGCCCTTCCCTCTTTGGCAGTGGTGACAGGAAGTCTTCACAGACTTCTGGACTAAGTATCCTCTGGGAAGTCCCCAGAGGGGTGGGTAGGATGTCTGTCCACACTGTCTAGGTCTCCTGTGTTCACTGCTCTTTCTGGTTTAGATGTGAAATTTCTCCCATAGGCTCCTTTGAACAGTTGGCCCCCAGTTGGTGGTACTGTTTTGGAAGGTTGTGGAACTTTTAGGAGGCGGAGCCTCTATGGAGGAAGTGGGTCACTGGGGAATGGGCTTTGCACTTTTATAGTCTGGCCTCACTTGATCTGCTTTTTAAAAATATATATTTTATTTTTATGTGTATGAGTATATTACCTGAATGTTATAAGTGTACCTGTGTCATGCAATGCTTGCAGAGGTTAGAAGAGGGCGTTGCATCCCCTGAAACTGGAGCTATGGATGGTTGTTAGCCACCATGTGGGTGCTAGGAATTGAACTTGGGTCCTCAGCTCTAAATGGCTGAGCCATCTCTCCAGCCTGCTTCTTGACTGTGGATGCCAAGTGACCAGGAACTTCCTGTTCTTGCTCCTGCGCTTTCTCCACCATGATGGACTCTGTTCCTTCTTAAACCATGAGCAAAATGAACCCTTCTTCCATTAAGTCGCTTCCAGTCAGGTATTTTGATCACAGCGATCTGATCACAGAAAAGCAACTGAGTGTCTACACATCACTGACTGGCTCACAGGGAGTATTCCCCTGGGCAGGGCTGCAGACACTACTTGGCACATCTGCCTGTTGCTGGCTTCAGACTGTCTGAGCTCCTTTCCTCTCACGATCAGCCCATAGGGGAGCCCTGGGGACTTGGTGTGCCTGACCCACTTTCGGCTCTGCCAGCCTGAGTGACTGGACTCATCACTGGATTCCAGGCCTGGCCCTTGTGTGCCTTGGCATGGTGGCTCCCAGTCCCCCCAGCTTCAAGCTTCCTCTCCCTGACTGCCTCACTGGCTCCCTTGACCTGTCACCTCCTTCCTCTGCATGTCCCTCCAGCTTCAAGAGCATGGATGTCCTGTCTTTCCAGAACCCCCAGGCCAGTCCTGAAACCAGCCTTGCTGAATGCTTGTTTATTCTCTCCAGCTACTTTCTCTTCCCTTGGGTAGAAAGACAGGCCCGACTAAGGCCCAAGTAGGGCCTGGCCCTCACCTCAGCTTCCTGCTTGGAAGCTCCATGAGAAACTGCCCTGTCTGAGTAGCTTTGCCCTGCAGAGGCCTGAGTGCCCCCCCCCATTAGCTCCTGTGGAGCCAGGCACACACTGGGGAGTCTCAACCACACCCAGGGAATCCTCAGTTACGTTGATTGAAGTATCATTTTGCTGCGGCTAGCCTAATGGCCCGGACTCAGGGTGTCCCTGGCGACTCTAGAGGCGCCCATGGTCTGCTTCTCCCAGACACCCCTTCAAGGCAAAGCAGGATGCAGTCCACATGGCAGGTCTCTGCAGGAGATCCCGGATGGGATCCAGTGTCTACTGTTCTTTGGCATTTTTATGGGACGAGAGCAGAAGGTCTGCTTTCTGGGGCTCCATCCTCTGGCCTGATGGTTTAGTAGCTGACTTGTGGGGCCTGCAGTTCTGAATACAGAAAGGACTCTCCTTCAGCCAGGTCATGGAAACCCTCTTGCCCATCAAATAAGGTTCAAGTCCTTCATGGTATTTGGCTCAACTCCTCTAGTGAGCCTCTGGGTAGCCCCTCCATATCTGAGTCCTGGCTGCATCTCCTCAGATCCTACTCCAGAAGGCCGCCTCCACCTCACTCATCATCCTGTCCAAAGCCAATGTCTTCTCTCCTCTGGTGGCTTGGGGGAATGGTGGGTGGCTTGCTCCCCCAGATAGTCCTTCATCTGCCTCGTGTTGGTGGTGCTGCACCTGCTCTCTGGTCTCCCTGGGGACCTACCCACTTCCCTGTCCACCTTTGTCTCCTCCCTGGAGCTGAATGCCAGCATTTGTCTAGTATACCACCTCCTTGTCAGGCCAAGTTCATGTGCAATGTGTGCTGCACAGCATAGCAGGAGGAAGGCTGTGTACCAGCCTTGGGGATTCCAAAGGTGACCCCCCCTTCTGCTCCTCGATCTGCCTTGACTCTTGGTCCCCTGGACATGAGTGCAGTAATCACTGGGACATGTGTGACATCAGGTTTAAGATTACAGGTACTGAGGTCAGAATATTTATTTGCCAGCTTTATGACCTCCACTCTAGTCCCAGTCAGCACCTTCTGCCACCAGATGGGGTGGTACCTAAATACAGAGAATGGTGGACATAAGTGAACGTCAGGTACATACACCTGATGGTCACTGCCTGTCCCTGGAGCCATCGTGGTTTCCCCACAGTCAGGGAACAGACCCTGAGTTACAGCTCCTGTAACCCAGCCACTCCTGCAGCTCAACCCTCCTCTACTTCCAGCCTCCAAGTCCCTCCTCTATCAGGACCCTTTAGTGCACAGTGCTGCTGGAGGTCAGAGGTCCATATATGCAGCATGGCATCATCTTTGCAGCCTGTGGAGCACTCTGCCATCCTGACTCTATAGGAAAGGAACGGGTGCAGAGGGCCCAGGACACTCATCTGCCTGCACTGATATTGCTGAGCAAGATTCATACTCAGGTCTCTGTCTGAGTCCTCGTTCCCTGTACGTGCACTTTCTACCAGAGTGTCTTGCCTCTCCATCCTCCACCATGGCTACCCCACCACTTGAAGAACCTCTTGCGGTTTTCATTTATTCTCAGAAATTATCCTGAATTATCCCGACTCCCATAGGCAAGTGGGACAGTGGCTAAACTGAAGTCGTGGATTCTTACTGATCTTCATATGAGAGAGAGAGAGAGAGAGAGAGAGAGAGAGAGAGAGAGAGAGAGAGAGAGACAGAGAGAGACAGAGAGAGAGAGA